TTATTACATGTAATTATTGTGTTTGTTTTTTTAATTTAAAATGTTAATTATTAAATTCCATATATATCCATATATCCTTTTAGGTTGATATATTTTTGTAGGTGGCTTTTTTTTAGGAAACCAATTTCTTCTCCCACGTTTGAGCCGTATGGTTTCTTCTCCCACGTTAGAATTCTATGATCCTCATTTTTGACTTTTGAATGGACTTATTCATTTCAATTAGTGGCTGTTTTCACTATTTTATATTGATACCATGTAAGATTATTAGACATATTCTTTATTTTCGGAGGCTTGAGGCTGGTACGTTTAGATAATATATTTAAACATACCAAATACGTATCAAGAAGATATATAAAGTAACATACCAAATATGTTTTTTTTTTTAAATAAATATAAACGTACCAAAATAATATATAAATGTACCAAATACATACAAAAAAAAAATATGAACGTACCAAATACGTACCAAGAAGATATATAAAGTAACGTACCATATATGTACCAAGGAGAAATATATGTTTAATCAAGAGGAAATATATGTACCAAATATGCTTTTTTTAAATAAATATAAACGTACCAAATACATACAAAAAAGAAAAGAAACATAATGTACCAAGAAGATATATCAAGTCACGTATCAAATATGTACCAAGAAGAAATCTACGTTTCATGTGTAATTTGAAAGACTTTTTATTATAATTGAATACTACAATATTTATCTACAAGATTTTAGGAGTTTTGAGATATTATCTAAGAAAATTAAAAGGTATATTAAACATAATGGCAAGTCGCATTCATGGGTATTTTGAAAGACTTTTTATTGGAATTAAATTCTATAATATTTATCTACAAGATTTTAGGAGTTTTGATGTATTATCTAGGAATTAAAAAGGTATATTTATATAATGGCAAGTTGGGTAATTTAAATTATAAAAAAAGCTACTTCTAATCCACGTGGCACCAAAATTGTAGGAAAATGTTTAATCAAAACTCTAAAAAACATAAATGTTTAATTTTACAATTTTAAAACCTAGACATCTGTATCAAAACTCCTCTTGTTTTTATTGGTAAACATTTATACGTTGAGATTTAAACGATAATAAATAGTGCAGACTCAACACTACTATAACAAATCACAACTCATTATAAGAACTACTACTACTCTAAAACCTGTTCTGGTGTGATTGATGTCCAAGAGCAATCAATAAGCATGCTTACACCTTTCACCTCTCCCTAATATCGCGTCTATGGGAAAAACCATCATTTTTTGCTTTAGCTAATATAAGGGGTGGATTCGTGATATTAATTTTTTACGATGGATTCGTGATATTATTTTTTACATTTGACATATGTTTTTTATGTGGCCTACTTTGTAATGTATTTTAACGATCTGACTCATCTATCTTTTAGAACATTATTCAGTGCCCTCCTATGCCCTTCTGTTTGTGTGGTCACGGTTAAGCTATGTCAACATCTTATATTACTATTTATTTTTGTCTTATTATCTCTATAAAAAAACAATATAAAATATTGACGTAACTTAACCGTGACCACACAAAACAGAAAGGTACTGGAAGTGGACGGGCAAACAATCCTTGTCCGAGTTTCCTTTGTACCTTTCAGTGCTTTCACTGATGGAGTCTCCTTTTTCTGAATGGCCATGTTAAAAGCTAAAACACACTGCAGCTGCATTGTTGGATCACTGTAAATGTAAGGGAGTCCACATGTAAGCTTCCCACCAAAATTTGGCCCCCAACGGATTCGAATTTTCTTGCAAAGTCCCCCATAAAATCCACCCTTCCCCTTCTTTTGATGTCAATAGTTCGAAGGTTCCTATTTTTTTCATGATTTATAAAGCAAAGGAGGGAAAATGATAAAGGGTAAGGTTAATCATAATCATTATCAACATTCACCGTCCTTGTTTCTAATATATATAGCATGGGTATCCAATGTAGTATTAATTTGCATAGTATGTAGCACTGTGAGAAAAATGACACGTACTACAACAACAAGAAGAACACAAGAAGTACTAAGTTTTATTCCACTACTTGAGTTGGCTGTATAAATTATAAAATGTCACTAGGCCGGTTTTGTGACAAGTTTTTCGTTAGCCTCATGTACTCTATATCTATTCTTACAATTTCTTTCCAAGTGTTCCTACGTTTTCCTCTACCCCTTTTGAACTAAATTTGCGGCTTATAATCACATCTTTTAACTGGAACATTTGTAGGTACAATCACCTGCAAACTATGTAATAAGTTGAAGTATTCTCTATTTGTGAGGTTTCGGAACCTAAAGTGTTGATTATGGATACATATAATTACTGACAAACCGTATATATCAAGTAAATTGAGATGCTTGTAATTTTTTTGTGTTTATGAGATTTCAAACCCTATACGTTGAATTATAGATACATATAATCACATGCAAACCACATATGTCAAAGTAATTTAAGATGCTCGTAAGCATTCGAACCTAATACATCTTAACTTGTCACAAATAATCCCGCAGTGGGCCATAAGCGTAGCTAGGTTGCATGCAACTAAAGAAACTAATAAACTAAAGTGGGACAAAAGGTGACAGGGAAAATACATGCATGCATGTAATTATGTAAAATAATATGTTGGCCAAAGCAAAAGTAATGGAGTTTGGTCTACGACTCTACGAAAATAGGACCCCTGTCTGTTATACAACCGCTTGCTTGCTGGGGCTGTGGCTCGAGAATGAGAGGCCTAATTATGTTATTTTATAATTCCCATTTTGATATGTGCTGCATGCCATTGTGTTTGTGATTGTGATTGTGATTGTGCTTCTGCCCCCACTCACAGACTCACAGTGAAACCCAGCCGCGCTATAATGGACCGAAAATTACGGGATTAAGTGGGTCCTACAGCCCACGCTGTTGCCCTCTCAGTCACAATCTCCATTCTAAGTTATTTTCTGTGCATTCCAAATATGAATGACTTATGCCGAACAAGTTCATCGTTGTTTTGAAACTGAATTTTTTTCGGATTTAAAGGAATTGAGTCCAAGGATCAAATGATCCGAGTTATTGAAATTTGATCCAATTGCTACAATTATTATAACTTATAGAGAGCTCCTTGTTTATAGTTGTTTGTTCAAATTTTAATAGTCCGGATCATTTGATGAGTAAGCTCAGTTCTTTTGGATTAGAAGGGGGATCCGGTTCCCTCTATTTTAACAATTTTCAATTTGTGATACAATATTATATGTTTTTTTATTGTTGCAAATGGAGTGGTCTCCAATATAATGTAATAGAAATAAAATGTCTAGAAGTGAAACATATCAGCTTTTTTGTCTACTCATATTATAATACGTAAGATTGGTAAGATTATGTGACATTATCCAATAATACAGTTTAGAAGTGAGACATACCAACTTTGTAATCTATTCATATTATAATAGATGAATTGTTAACAATGTAACAATCCAAGGTACACGTAAAAATTTTTACTCTCAAACTCTCATCAGTGTCTACTTTAGTTGGCTTTGCCTCGTTTTAGTTAAGGTAATTTTCATTTTAGTACTCTTAAATTTTTCAAATTTCGCACTTTACAACATTTTTTTTTTTTTGTTTCACTCTCATGCCTAAAAAATAAATTTTCTCCCATTTTCATACTTCTATTAGTTCTGTCAAGTACGACGTGAACTGGCCCCTCAAATTTGCCACCTAGACTGGCAAATTAAATTATTTGAAAATTAGAAAACATTCTCCCTCTCCCTTCTCCTTCCCTTTCTCTCTTCGAATCCCAGGATCGACTTGGGCTATCGCCGCACTGCCGTTTAATCATGTTCTTGGTCTTCATCATTTCTCTAAGAATTCTTCTTATCTCTATTTAAAATTAAGAAATTTAAGAAAAATTACCAAACAAAATTTTGATTTTGATTTTGTGCCATGTGCAATCGAAAAGAAACAGAAGTGGGAATATAGGGTAGTGGTTCGATAACAAGATCTCAGAGATACATGTTGACATCGATGCGGTATCGATCCGTAGAAAGCGACCCATTCGAGAACGGGATCTGAGATCTCGAACTTCGACTCACAACGAGCTGGTTCTGGATCCTATAATGGTTCTTAGAGGAGGATGACGATCGCAAACTCTCCGTCAGCAAAGACGACCCGGTCGACTATTTGGATCAGCTTGCTTCTGGCCTTGGCTGGCACTAGAATCTTGAAACAGGCTTTCCAGAATAGGGGTTTCCGGGTCATGTCGTTTCTCAGACTTGGGTCTTCTACCCTGGTGGAAGAGCCGTCACGAATTCGGAGAAGGAATCCTCGACGATCTGAATGGGGATAAGGGTTTCGGTGGCACATATGAAGTTGGATAGGGTTTAGATAATATTCGAGAGACTAAATTTTGAAATTAAATTTACAAATTAAATGATGTGTCATTTATAAGAAATAAGCACGTTAATTAATGTTTAAATAATAATCCAATCATCAACAATTATATTATTTGATTTGCAAAATTTGATCTCTCTAATATTATCTTTAATTTTAATTGTGTTGAGGCCACAACAGAATTCCTTAATTTATTATTTAATTAATTTCTTAATTCATGTACCTAATTTTGTGGGCCAGAGCAATGATACAGCATCACTTAATTTAACTTTTGATAAAAAAAAAAACTAACAGATCGATGAAAATGAAAGTAAAATTAAACTTAAGTTTGAAATTGACAAGAAATATAGTGAAGTAAAGTGGGGATTTTGAAAAACTTAAGGGATTGGGCACACTCATATGCAATGGAATATGTAGCTAGTGGGGCTTGGATTGTATTTGCATAATTTTGCATCCCTCTCATGCCCCATGAAATCTTTTGTTTGGTCCCCTAAAAGAATGTCCTCGAATCACAGCCGCTGATCACGCCTCAACTTCAGAATGACTCAAAGTTGCTCATCCATTGAGTCCATATCTAAAGACCTCTCAAGTCTGAAGCCAACCTCCATAAGTAGTCCACCACCCCTCCTTTAACTCCTCACCCTATCAGTACCTCACTGATTCTCTCTCTCTCTTTTCTGTTTGTTTCTAGGGAAAATTTAGAAGAAAAAGAATATGGGTGTGGTGAGTGTTTCTACTTGCATTGCTTCTCTAATCATCTCACTAATGTGGGTGGCTGAAGCAAGAATCCCAGGAGTTTACACTGGTGGTGCATGGCAAGGCGCTCATGCCACCTTCTACGGTGGCTCCGACGCCTCCGGAACCATGGGTACGTCACCAAAACCCTACATTTCCCCTTCAAACTCTTCACCATTTGCCTCAACTTTTCATTTTTCTGAATGTACACAATAATGCCACATTCCTTTTAAAGCGGAGAAACTTACATGCACCAGGAATGTCATTGTGTCAATATCCTAATCATGCGCTGCATGCATTATGATTTTTACACGTAAAGTTGTACGATTGAGTTGAGATACTGTAGCAAAATCCAACAAAACCCATCAAAGATCTAAAACCAAGAACTTAATCAAGCTTAATTATCAATTAATTAACTAAAACACTTGAATTTTTCAGGTGGGGCTTGTGGATACGGAAATTTATACAGCCAAGGGTACGGAGTTAACACGGCGGCACTGAGCACAGCGCTGTTCAACAATGGCCTCAGCTGCGGAGCCTGCTTTGAGCTCAAGTGTGCAGACGACCCCAGCTGGTGCCACGCCGGAGGTCCATCTATTTTCATCACTGCCACTAACTTTTGCCCTCCCAATTTTGCCCAACCAAGCGACAACGGCGGATGGTGCAACCCTCCTAGGCCCCACTTCGACCTCGCCATGCCCATGTTCCTCAAGATTGCCGAGTACAGAGCTGGGATCGTCCCTGTTTCCTACCGCAGGTTAGTAAAGCCCACATCTCTGTTTTCCTTGCTCTATTTTTAGGTTTGGTTATTTAGTTTAACAATTTGAAAGGAATAATCTTGGATTTGGAAGTATTGGAACATTTTTTTTAACAAAATGAGTTACTATTTTTTTACGTCTACGTAAAATGAGATTCGATCGTGAGTTCAGAAAACTAATTGACCTAACTCACGTCGATTACCTGTTACTCTTGAAAAACAATAGTTGTAACTTTTTAGCCAAACGAAATGTGGTTTCCAAAATTTCTACTTGGACCACTTTTCTCTCCAATATAATTGTACTGGAATTGGTTGTGCGAGTGTTTCCTTTTTCCTTTTTTTTTTTATTCTGATTTAATTTCTTTTCATATGAAAATAAATTAGACTACTTTACTTTTTTCTTTAAAGCTTTTTGTGACCTTTCTCAATCTTGCGGGTCACACCTGTGGTACAAGTGAGTTGGATTCTGGTCTGAGTTTTAATTACTTTCGCAGAATGTATATGGTTTCTATCGACCAAAATTATGTGGTATTTCAGAGTATACAATATTTCGGACTTCTTAAATATCAAAAGTTTAAAAATTTGAAGTATGTAGCATCATAGAAAATCCAAACAATCTATTTACTGACCGTGTGGAAAGAGCTCACTTGAAATTGACTAATTGCCCCAAATTCTTGATATTTCTTATGGTAGTTAATGGGTTAGTTAATTTCGGTTCTTTCAAAAGTTTGGATTTTGCCCAATTGGTCCCAAATGCTGAAAGCAAAATAAGAATGGGGAGTGGGGAATATTTAACTCCCCAAAAACCTTAGTTTTAACATATGCCATTATGTCATCCTTTGGCCTCAGTTTTGGCCTTTTGTTATCCACTAGATGATCATTCGCGTTCTACATAAGGATAAAACTAGGTGTCCAAATTTAGTGAAGTGTAAACTGTGATGCAAATGTCGGTTAGGTCCGTAAGTCAGTGTTGTGTGTCTGACTCCTTATTCAAGTTTGGGTCGAGTTTGATCCTCTATTCCTGGACTTATAGCTTAGGATACTTATAAAATTAACAAAAGAGAGCGGGCATGTTAAGGAAACTCTCTCAAAATGCAACTCTAGGGTTAATTCTTATGTCAACATAAACAATCTACCATCTTACAGTTTAATATTAATTTTCATGTCAATATTATAGAATATTATGAAAAAAAAAAAATGAGATAACAAGAAGTCATCGAAAAGTTTTACTTTTAAAAGAGCTTCTTCTGCATCTCTCGATAATAGAGTTGCTAAATTTGACTTATAGTTCACTAAACTTGCATTTAGCTACCAAACTTCGGCTTTTTTGTTGGATTATGCTCTTTGGTCTATGGCAAGATCTGCACTGTACGTACTTTTTGACCAGTAAATCATACGGTCACACAGTACGAAGCGCATGTAGTTCACAGTTCCCTACGTACAAAATCAAAGACCATTCCAAAGCACAGTCCCCAAAATTCCGAGACTCGTCGATCAATATGAAAAGACCAATTTAGTATTCAATTTGATTGGCTCATTTAATCATGCCCGCCGTAAAACACGGTCCGCGATCCACGTTGGAGTTAAAATTCCGAACATGCCCTCACGATTTTTGACTTTTTTCCGCAGGGTGCCATGCCGGAAGCGCGGAGGGATCAGGTTCACAATCAACGGCTTCCGTTACTTCAACCTGGTTCTGATCAGCAACGTGGCGGGCGCAGGGGATATCGTGCGGGTGAGCGTGAAAGGCGCCAGGACCGACTGGATGAGCATGAGCCGCAACTGGGGTCAAAACTGGCAGTCGAACTCCGTTCTGGTTGGTCAGTCACTTTCCTTCAGGGTCACCGGCAGTGACCGGCGCACTTCCACCTCGTGGAACATCGTCCCCGCACACTGGCAGTTCGGTCAAACATTTACCGGAAAGAACTTCAGAGTCTGACGGACGACCATCCAAAAGTCAACATATTTATGATTTTCCCGCCATATTTATGTATTTCCAATTGTACCCTTTCTTGGCGCCATTTTAGTTGCTTTTACAAGATGCTGTTTTTGATGGGCCGTTGGAGAACGTGAAAGTGTTTCAGGTGCAAGTTTTGACTTATTGATTGGTGGAATTTGCTGTGACTTATGTGAGGGGGTATGATGAGTAGTGGGTGGGTATAACAATGTAACAAGTGTAAGGGTAATTTGGGAATTAAATTAAAAAGCCCTATGTGGGCAAATTGTAGGAGAGGTTGAGGCGGCCGCAGAGAATTGTAGCCCGCACCGTATTAATACTTTGCTAAAAGTAAAGTTGTAGTGTATATTCTTCATATGATCATATATATATATATATGCATGAGAAGTGTATTTGTATTGACTTATTTTGTTAATTTTCTTTTTCAGTTGGAATTTTGCCTAATTCAACAATCTTTACGTGATTGCGTTGATGATGGATAACCAAAAGCACTTGCAAGTTTTCGGGGTTAGCTCCAACGTCGAGGCGACTGAAAAAATGGATCAGAATTAGGATAGGCTAACGATTCATTTTCTTTAGTGTAATTGAAAAGGAAGAATTTAGGGAGTTTTAACGAAAAGTCTATGGTATTATTCATTTTAACGAAAAATCATATTTTTACAATTTATTTTATCTTTATCATTAAAACTCAAAGTTTTCAATTTTTTTTTTATTAATTTTCCTAAGAACTTAAACAGGAAGTTTTCGGTCCATTTTGAAGAGTTCGCATAAATATTTAAAAGTGCAGACAGCTAAAGGGTGAGCGCGGCTGAATTACAAAACATAGAGTGAAGGAAAAGCTTCAATCAGTGAACCCATAAGTCCAAATGGGTCAAATCAAAACCAAACCTGCACGTGGGTGGGGTTGGGGTTATTGTGGGTATCTGGGCTTTGTTGCTTGGTGAATTTATTATCCATCTTCTTCTGTCCTTTAGAGGACAAACATCTTTGGATTCCAACTACCATAAAAGTAAAAGCACAATGCAGTAAGCTTTGGATACCTTATGCAAAAAGCCAATCACTTCCTTGGTTGAGCTTCCACCTCAAGGTTTGGCCTTTTGTTTAGCGGTCTGTTTGATAACTATTTCGTTTTAGTTTTTCGTTTCCATTATTTGTGGTAGAGGAAGACGGGAAGTATATGGGAGAAATGAGGACTAGGGAAGAAGAATATGTGAAATCCAAAACCTTGAAAGTGAAAACAACTGCTTAGCTTTTAGTTTTCGTTTGAGTATCATTCCGTCCTTCCATCATCCCTTCTTTATCCTTTTTTCGCGTACTTTTCCTCTATTTATAACACAAAATGAAAGCTTAAAACGAAAACCGAAATGATTACCAAATGGGTCTAAGGTTTGAAATTTAGAATCTTTTAGGCAATTAGTTACGAAAGTGAGAACAAAATAATTTTTGTATAAGAACAGTAACGACATTATTCAGGTTAAATCTCACTTCAGAGTTCGATATCTATATAGAAGCTTACACAGCCTCACTGCAGTTCTACAAGAGTTATGAATTCTAACCGTGATATCTCCACTGCGACTGCCAATGGCCATTTGTTCCACTTGTTCCAGCACCATGTCTCCTCGCTGCGGCAACAGCTTCAACGTGCCTTTGTCCGGCACGATGATTGTTGAAATCCATCTCGCTCAGACACACCACATTACATAACGCGCAAGTCCTTAAAGCGTCGGGTGCTGCCCCACTTTCAAGAACCTTCCTTTTCTTAGTTTCTAAATCCTCTGGAGGTTGATCAGCTGCTCTCTTCTTACTGTTTTCTCCAGGAATCTTTTTGCCTTTCAACTTATCCAAATTCATCTTGTGCTTTTTCCCCTGTTTATGCTTATTGAGTACATCCTTGGTGTCGCAATAAATATTGCATACCTCACAATGAAGTTTCGGAGCACCATTTCCAGAAGGCCGAGGAATAGCATTTCCAGCCGGCTGAGCACTAGCGTTACTCCACGAGGCAGCATTCGGATTTGCAGAAGCATAGTGATCTGTCCCATTTGATGGAATTGAGAAACCCTGAAAGAAGGTGATTAACTTTGACACGAACAACCATACATTGAATACAACACCAACATGAAATGCATCCACTGATTGACGTAAAACTCAATCCATATTAAATATTCTTCCATCGGTTGCTAACAGCTACATCTTCGGACTCTTCTACCATGCAGGGATAAAAGTGTCTATGGAAAGATACCCTCAAAGGTTGCGGTTTTGAAATACGTAATTGTTGTCTACCATTTGAGATTAATTTTGAAATTAACTAGTATACAACACAGATATGCAAGCATGCGGTGATCAATATAATCTGAGTTGGTGTTTTCAAAAGTGCAGTTGGACACAAAGCATATGCCTTGAACCATAAAAATCAACCCCATACCAAATAGCTTTTCAGCAGAACAAAATACCAGCACATCAAAATAATAGCAATGCAAACACCATAGACCTGCTAAATAGACTAGAAAAGAAAAGCTCCAAATAATCGCAACAAAACAGACCAAATAACACTAGTAGAATGAAGAAGAAATGTGAAAAGAGAAACGCAAAAACAATAAAGCTTCCTCTAAGCTAGTGGGGTGATACTGAAACCTCCTCTAAGCTAGTGTGTTGTCACCAAAATACTCCAAGGCACTGTTTTCCTTGAGAAATATCATGGTTTGCAGCGAAGAGCTTTCCAAATTCCCATACATGAAAAGACTTAAAAGGAATTTTTCTTCCAATGTTTTCAGACGATCTATCAGGGGAAGAAAGGGGTTTTCCTCCGACTTCTTTTGGTTATATTTACATTTGGAAGTTGCATACCTCATGCTGTTTAGACCTGGAACATGGCAAAAATATAACAGTAAAGTAATTGCATGAGTGATTTACACCCTTTCTCAAAAAATAGGAGATGAGGTGTACACGACAACCAAAAGAACTTACACCTTTGGGGCATTTTGGTGACTAAATGAATGACTTAGTCATTTTCCAACCGGACTATCCATGAAATTATTCTCAAAACTCATTTGTCCCCTAAACAACTACAAGTCATGTTTTAAATTACCCCTTCCCGTTTTTTGTTAGCCAAGCTGATGAGGAGTCAAATGGCAAAATTTTGATGTTCATTTTGGTCCTTCAACACCTGTCTCACCTCTCATCTCTTCTCCGTTTCTCCCTTCTCTCTATTCTTTCACATGTTTTTGCCATATTCCCTTCTCTGTCTTCCAGGGATGGAGACTATTTTTTTCCCTTCCGAAACGAAAAAACGTATGTACATACATAAAAATGTGTTTACTAAACTAGGACTTGTTAATTAAGGCTACTTATCAATGTAATACATGATACAAACCTTAAATGTCCAAGGCCCACAAGGAAGACAGCTAGACAACACGATCAAGGGAAGACTACTCGATGATACAGTTGAGAAAATAAAGGACTAGTATAGAACCTAACAGCTAATGGATAGACAGACCATTCACAATCCTTGATGTCGATCTATCAGTACTACACAAGGGGAGAAAAGAACACTAGAACGGAGCGGTAGTGGAGTAGGCTGTGTTAAATAGCTAAAATATACACCTAGAAATGATTTTTATTTTTTATTCCTGATATGACCTGGGCTGCGCATTGTTCCATTCCTGCTCTCTTATGTGTCTGATTTTCCAAATAAATAGGTACATAGTTATTCTCTTACTTTTTTTGGGGTTTCAACCATTTCAAGCAGCCACATTAACTTTTTCTGCTCCTCCAATTATTTTCCAACAAAGTGGAGAAGGAGAATTTGTCACTGTATAAGATAAACTTTGAAGCTTGCTAAACAGATATGGGTCTTCAAACATGAAATTGAATATTTGAAAAACTGATGCTGACAAAAGTGTTATATTCACATGCTTTAGGTAAGTACATTCAACACCATGAAATACCACAAAGCAGCACAATAAGGAAATAAAATAAAAGATAACAAAATGTCCATAAATTTTACCCACGTAAGTGCCGCGTCAACTTGGTTAACAGAAGACACAACAGACTTGATGGAATGCGGTTTTTGAAAACGAGGGCATAGTATTTTGGGGGGGAGGGAGGGATTGGACGCCTATTATATATCAATGGATAGAATTGTAACAAAGCCTAATATGGTATTAGATCCTTGATATTCAGTTATGCCTTGTAAACGGAAAACGTTCAGATAAAATTTGCATTGAAAGGGTGTGTGATCTATAAATTTCTGCAAAAAAATCTCAGAACAATAATCATTTATTTCTTTTGTGTTTGGAAAGTCCTTAAAATTCAGTTCAAACATGGCTTTCAATTGGAAGGACTACGCAGAACCAAGCGGGAGAGGAGTATCCGAAAGATCCCTTTTGTTTTCGTTGAACATCACATAAGTACTGGAACAACTAGAAGCCTAGAACAAATGTGAGGATTGAAGAACCCCAACGGCAATGCACTAACTTGAAATTCAGATCACATCAAACCAACACGAAAATGCACCGTATGCAAAACCAAAGTTAACTTGAATTATGTTGAGAGAACAATAATTAGATACCATTTGTTGCAGGTGAACCTGCCGCTGCTCGTTTTCTCTGCTAAGATCTTTCTTAAGATCTTTCCACTGAGCTTCAAATTTCAACAGGGCCCTGCCCTGCTCTAAGAAGGACTTCTCAAGGTGGTACCTCAATTCCTGAAAGTTTTGATGCAATTTTGCTATTTAACAGCATAAAAAATGAACAAAAATAAATCTAGTAAGCTACTACAGGCCAATCAAATTGTAACAAAAAGAAGTGAAATTTAAAACATGCAGCCGTTATCAAAGGCAAATGGAATCATGGGTATTTGATTAAAAAAACTCAAAACTCACCGATTGCATTATCCAATTCCTCTGAGCAGTTGGCCATTTCAGAGCTCCAGCACAAAAACCCACCCGGGTTTTGTGCCTTTATGGCAGATTAAGCTTGTGGGGGGATCTCTGAAACTGCAATTTTCGGGGAATTAGAAGATCCCACATGCAAAAAAAAGTGCTTTGGACAATTGGGTAGAAAGCAAAAGCAGATTGAAGGAAGAGGAAGCAAATTTACAGTCAACTATGGTGACTGTAATGGAAATTGAGGACTGTAAGGTCAAGGGGGCTTCGATTCCTCCGCCCACCAATTAGCTCTGTTGCATGAATTCATGAGGAGAGCTGGGCTTTTATATTATTTATTGTTTTATTTTATTTTTTTTCCATTTTTGGGGTGAGAAGAGAGCTGGGTTTTGTGAGAGGAAAATCAAAGAGCAGTTCGTAAGACCAAAGTGGACTGTGATGAACAGAAGACTAGGAATTCTTGGGAGGATTTCTTAACGAGAGGAGGAAGAAGGTTGACTGCTTCTCGGCTCAGGCCCACCAGCAAGTCTATTGGTGGGCCGATCCAACTTTCTATTTCACTGTAATAAATATAGGGTAATACTATTCAAATACTTCTTTTTACTTGTTACATATTTTTATTAATTTTGATCCATTGGTTTTTTTTCGTTCATTTGAACCGACGGTTGAAAATTAAAAGGAGTGTGAGAGGTAAAAATGAATGTGTTAATAGCACCACCCTAAATATAATTTGAATAGAGTTTTAACATATAGACCCTAACACGTGATATCGAAGTATAGACCCTAAACCCCTTGCCACGGCAGTCTACCTTTCCGATTGCCAAGAAGATTGACAAAGGCATCACCGATGCTCTGCGGGCGATCCATAGGGGATTCAGAAGGATATGTGATTCAGATTATAAATATTGAGCTGAAACAGACTTCAATCTTCTCAACTCTCGCACTGTATTGATCGGGAGTTTCTTCAATGCCTCCTTGTAAGAGCAGTGAATCTGCAACCTCCATTACTCGGTTGGGGAACGCCAACTTCACAAAAGTATGAAGGTTCAAGTCGCCGGAAAACCTGTCGTCAGTCAGCCTTTTCCCTATGAACATCTTTAACAGAGAATGCCAAAGTTGCAGACGTATCCATTTGTGGACACCTCACCTCCCATACCATACTCTACAACTCATACGAAACAAAACAGTCACCGCCATTGTAAACAAAATCTAGGATGAGGATATATACCTGGAGCAGCATAACCAACCATTCCCCGTATGCCCATGGAGCTTGTCTGATTTGCAGAAACAGTGGTTCGTAGTGAGAGAAATTTTACTAGTCCGAAGACATAAACATTTCCAGCCAACTCGTTGTCCAAAAGAACATTGCTCGGTTTGAGATCACAATGAAGTGGTGTTTCACAATGGTTATGGAGATAATATAGTGCCCATGCAACATCAATATGATGTCTAACCTCTGAAGAACAATTAAACTCTTGGTTGGGGGATTTATTACTTCTTCATCTCCAGTAGTTGGATGGAGCCACTCTTGTAAGCTCCCATTCTCGATGAACTCATAAACTAGAGCCTTGAAACCATTACCACGAAAATCAACACTTGAACAAGCAGTTATAATCTGACGAGATTTTGATGCCTAATATTTCTCGAAGCCTCACACTTGGCTGTGAAACTCTTTGGTGCTCCACGGTGTAACAAGTCAGACACCTTAACAGCAACATATTGAGCTCTATCATCATCATCATCATCAAGAACTCCTTTGCGACGTAGGAAAAGGAAGGAGTCTCGAGGAGAATGGGGATAGATAACTTGGGATTCGCTTAATTAGGGGCAACAAAACTTTGCTTAATGTTGCTAATTGTGGATTCACTCAACACAACCAAGTCATTGCTTGTTTTTGAAGGAGAAAATCATTCTCTTCTTAGATTAATTTTTAATTCACTAATCAACTACTTTAAAAATACATATGGAACCCTTTAAATAGAGGGATTATAAAGCATTGGTAGGATAAATATCATATCTAGTACTAGGATAGTTACTATGGAACTCAATTAAAATACTGTAGACACTTCCATTTGTGAGGTTTTTCTAAACTCCGTGTAGTTACACCCTTTGATCAAGAGGCACCACTTCAGAAAAGACGTCCACTCATTTGAATCCATTCTCAAACTTCTAGAACACGTTTCAGGAGTGATTTTGATACTATATACGAAGTATCAAACCTCTGAACCGAACAGACACAACTCTGCCTCCGAAGAGGTTTGAATTCTGGATATCAGGAAGACCGGTAGCCCGATAGAGCCTACCTGTCGTAGGTTTGCAGAGAGCAATAATCTTTGCTTCTGACCCCATCGACTGGTAGCCCAGAACTGTCTTCCTTTCCAAAACTTCACTTTTATTTTTGAAAATATCTAACAGCTCGAACGTAACCTGTTTACAATGCCTAAAAGCCAAATAGCCCTATTCGTGTATCTTAAGAAATTACTCTCCAACGTGAACAACTAGCCATAAATTATCTGCATTATGTTTAGGTCTCATACATTGAAGCATATAATTTCTATCTCAATATGGTCTTTAACAATAGCATTATAACAGATAGTTTACGTGACTTCTCTGTTTAATTAGAACCAAGTTGCCTCGTACAACTTACCTAGTCAGAGACCTTAACTGATTGTTTTGGATCTGAGAGCTTCGACGTGTTCTTATATTTGGTTTCCAAAGGTTCATCAAATACGAGACTCCTTCTGCTACCGTTGCCTTCCTTTTTTCCTTGAAGTTCCAAAGCTCTGGCACCGGAAACCTGCCACTGGGATTGTACTCATTCAACTCTGCCAAGGCAGTTTTCACAGCATGAAAAACTTGCTCACCAAACTCCTCCTTTAAGCCCTTCAACTTTTCATCTTGTTCATCAATGAATTCCTGTCCACCAACATCCAGTATTAAATCAGTTAGCAAGGCAGATGGAAAGTACGCGGTGCCTTAAACAAATTACAGCTTCGAAGTACAAGAAGAATGGGCCAGAAAATTGGACAAAACATAAATGACTTGTGGAAGTAGTAAGCACTGAATACCGTTGGCTTTTGTTGCTCATTCATTATAATCCTGAATGGTTGCCAATTTGGATCTCTCAGATGCTGCTCCCATAGAGAACATAGCTTCTTGGCCTTATCATCTAGACCGGCACCTCTTTTTGAAGGACAGGGCCTTTTGAGCGCACTACGGAATGGTTTATTGTCAAGCTCTCCCATTCTCTTCACACCGATACAAGTTTGGCTCGTTGAGTCACTTAGTCCCTGCAAGGGTTAAAAATTAGACATTACAAGGAACCAATAAGAACATTATCACACGAAAAAGAAACCAGCTTCCTTCAGCAAGTTCACACCTACTTTTTACTCTACAAAACGTTAGCCAAAAGGTCTGTAGACATGAACTTATGAAGACAAAAAAGGTTGCCATATATACCTCAATTCCATCCAAAGAGGGATATTAATAGACAGAAATCAATAGGAAATTAAACTGCAGGTGAACATTCAAACCCAAGAATAGCAAATATACATACAATGATGAGCGCTTTGCGAGCCTCCTGCAGCTCAACATTCTTTTCATGCTCGTTGACAATAAGTACTCCGTTAAGGGTTTTGTTATTGCCCAATTCCTCTTCCAGTTCCTTAAACTTCCCTTCAATTTCATGGATCTTAACTTCCAGCTCATCCACATGTTTGAGGTTGGTGTCACGCTGCTTTTCCAATATGCTGATTTTGTCGTGAAGTTTAACCTCTTGATCCCGCCATTGCTAATCAACCATAGAACAACATTTCAACGGATCACACTCATATGATCTTCATTAATCTGAATCTCTACCTAAATATAGTCAATGGGAAAGCCAACCTTTCGTTCTTCCTTCAGCCATTCCACTGTTTCATCAGCATTATGTTGCAGCTCATTCTGAAACAAAAAGGAATATATACAAGTGGAAGTTCATGGCAGCGTCAAACTCTATACATAAAACCAAAGTTAATGGAATTTAAGTTGAGAGAATACCGATTCTTGCAGTTCTACCTCTTTCTGATAAAGATCTTTCTCGAGCACTTTGTTTTCTGCTTCCCTTTGCTGAAGATCGTTCCTAAGCTCTTTCTTTTGAGCTTCACTCTCCTGAAGATTTTTCCTAAGCTCTATCTTCTCAGCTTCAATATTCTGAAGATTTTCATTTAACCCGTTAATTTGTGCTTCACTCTGCTCAAGTTGTTTCTTGACCTCCTTGTTTTTAGCTTCACGCTGAAAAAGTTGTTTCTTAAGCTCATTCTTTTGAGCTTCACTGAGCTCAAGTTCTTTCTTAAGTTCTCTCATTCGAGCCTCACTGAACTCGAGTTCTTTCTTTAGCCCTCTATCCCCATGATAGTTTTTAAGCTCTTTGTTTTGAGCTTCACTCCCTCCAAGATCTTCCTTATTCTTTTGAGCTTCAGTCTGCTCAAGTACTTTCCTAAGTTCTTGGCACCGAGCTTCACTCCGCTCAAGCTCCTTGGTAAGATCCTTCTTCCGAGCTTCAGATTTTATCAAGGCTGTGTACTGGTCCAACACTACTTTTTCAAGGTGGTCGCGTAGTTTAATTACATTTAGATGCAGTTTTCCTACTCAACAACATAAAATGCAAAAATAAGTAAGCAATTACAGAAATGAAAGAGAAGGAGAAAAGTTCAGTCGTACACTCAGTCTATAAGAAAAACACACGAAAAATGAAGCAAATGCCATTTCAGTTAGTAAACTTTCCACCCTTTCCAAACCCTCGAAACCGACATCAACATATTAAAGTCGAATCAGAAAGTTTAACTTCAATGAAGAAAAAAATTCAGACTGACCAATGTCTGGTTCTTCTGAAGACATTGTAAAACCTGCGATACAGAACAAAATACCGAAGATTCAGAAATCAATCTTGTCCCTGCAGAGCAACTACAAGGAAATAAGGTATAAAATATAAACATAAATGAATGAGTTTTTTCTGAAACAAGTAACGGAGTTCTCTGTTGTTAGTGTGTAGCTAAGCCAAATGGTGAAGGCAATACTACACCGAATTTCAACGGCAGGTTCTGAAAGACGAGAAATGCAAGCTAGTCTCAGAACACTAACATTATATTTCATCATCCTATTTCTCCGATTTTGCTTAGCAACCAAACACAATGCAAACCAGAAAAAGGTCAGAAAAACAGGAAAGTGGATGAATGGCAGAGTCATAAGTCCTGAAGTTTCAATGTTGACTATCGGTAACATTACTATTAATTGATTTTCCATTTTGTTCTTAATTTTTCTTAGCAACCAAACACAATGGATGTTATTTTCTAAAATAAAAAGCAGCAGATGCCAAAAATAAATCAACGTGTAAACCAAAACAAGTGGTCTTTTGTGTTTGGTTCCTATGAAAATTTCAGATTGACCGGAATTTTTGATGAATGGCAGTGTTCTGAGTCTTAAATTTTCAACTCTTCACTTTCAGAACACAACCACATGAAC